CAAAGGAAGCACCATGGTGCAGAAATCACCATTCTGTCATTACAGTGAAATGCCACAACCCCGTCCTACCTCCAGCCTTGAAGACAGGTAAGTACAGGGATAAAGGCAGCACCTTCTACCCCTCAGTCCACTCTTTGGTGGACCATCCCTAAATGGTGCAGGGCTCCCAGACAGAGTTCTCCCTCGAGACAGTAAGAAAGGCCAGAGACAGCTGACAGACAAACGACATTTTCTCCAAATCACAACTTACCTGGGGGGAGGATGGATGGGTCCAAGTTGAGAACTGATGGCTACAGAGAGAAAATCCAAAGGAAAGATTGGCGTGGTTTCTCTCTGGAACCCAGAACACCACTGACCCCAGGTGCTCCTACCTACACAGGAGTGACTAACACTATTACAGTCTAAGCCAGTGGTTCTCAACCTTCCTAATGCCGCGACCCTTTAATACAGTTCCTCATGTTGTGGAGACCCCCAACCATAAAATTATTTTCGTTGCTATTTCATAACTGTAATTTTGCTACTGTTATGAATCGTAATGTAAATATCTGATATACAGGATGTATTTTCATTGTTACAAATTGGACATAAAGCATAGTGATTAATCACAAAAACAATATGTAATTATATATGTGTTTTCCGATGGTCTTAGGCGACCCCTGTGAAAGGGTTGTTCGACCCCCAAAGGGGTCGCGACCCACAGGTTGAGAACCGCTGGTCTAAGCCCTCCTGAGCACTGGAGCATCATGGACCCTGCTCACAATAGCATAAGCACTGGGTATTTCCGCCTCAATTTCCGGGGGCTATAGGAACCCCAAAGATCATGAATCCCAGATGAACACCTAGAGCCTCCATAAAGGACAGATGCCAGTGCTCCCAGCTCCAAACAACCTCCTAAGATCCTGAAGTTGCCCTCTGCCTGCATTACCCAACAGACTTACAGTCTCCCTGAGAGGCCAGTTTCTTGCTCTCCGGTTGGTCTGTGAAAGAGAGAGGATGTCAGATGCAGCACCCACCCACCCACCCACAGCCTCCTTAAATCTGATGCTGGTGCCACACTTCCTGGCAAACTATCCCCTCTTCTGCTACCCCCCAAAATCAGAGCAGAGACAGGAGAGACCAACCCCTAAGTGAGGCCAGACTTCATCAACCGGCACTAAGGGTAAAAAAGCCCTTTATAACAGGGAAACAATGATAGTGGCATCTGAGTCCTTCTAGCTCAGGATCAGACCTGCCTTGGGCAGCCGGGGTTCTGGATGAAAGAAGTTGCTGGCCACCCAAACTTTACTTATGTGGGGCCTCAATAACAGTACCAGCATTTCTCCAGCCTACCAGAAGGGGAGAAACAATCTTGAGAACTTACAACTTGGACCCAGCCACAGTCAATCTGCTCTCCTCTCTGCCACCTGATACCTCAGGATGGTGGCCCAACAAAAAGAATGAACAAAGCTGGGATTGCTGAGGTTTTAAAAGACTGAACAGCAGCAGGCTGCCCTCCCCCCACTCTGAACCACATTCAAACAAAGGCACCTCACTCTCTATCCTCCTTCCCAGCAAGTAGTTACCTCCATCTTCCAATTGCCTCTTTTGGCCCCCAAAACCGAAGTCAGGAGTGCTGTTATTCACTGTTGTAGCAGCATCGCCTCCAATTTTGGCTGCGATCTAGAAATGAAGTTGTAAGCAGAGAAGAATTAGCACCAAAAAGCAACCTCCGTGGGGCTCAGATCAACTTCTCGGAATCTCTCCTGCTCTCTTTGCTGTTCGGACTGAGAGTCAGGTTCCCCCTAATTTAGGGAAGAACTTGATGGTTAAGACATTCTAGAAGGAATTTCCACCTGAGGTCTCAGAGTTCAACAGTAAACTCCCTTTCTTGATGGGATTTGGTCCCAATTTGTTTGTGGCCAGACTGTAACCCACACTAACTTGGGGTAAAAGGAACGGAAGCTCAGGGCCACTGAGGGTCCTCGGGTCATCTCCACAATGTAGCCGGGTTCTTCTGCGATGCTGCATCACCTCCCTCACCCTCAGAACCTGAGCAGCTGTGAAACAAATCTCAGGGCAGTTTTTGCTTCAAGGCATCTGAAATCTTTACTTGAGGAAAACAAAAGACCCTTTTGGAGCACATGTTACAATTTAGCCACACGAAGAGCAACTTCAAATAAACCCCTATCCAACAAACCCAACACCAGAGTCTGTTTGTGGAAGTATTACAAGTTTTCCAAAGAAACACAAACCAAAAAACTAAGTATCTATCTTTTCACTTCTCAACTATTTAACACTTCGAGCCAAAGCTCTTGGGCTGTCCAGATGGGGCACCCAGCACCAACTCCCCCAGTTACAGCTGCTCAATCAAGACAGCTCAGTGGGCAAAAAGATGTAAGTGCACATTGAAACATCCCATGGCAGTGAGAAAGCCCCGGTCACACGGGGCGGAGCCGGGCGGCCACCTAACGGGACCTCCTACCCTGCCCTGGAGGCACGGGGAGTACCCGGGGTTGGGGTCCGGCTTCCGGAAAGGGCGGCAAAGTCCTCCCATTCTATGGGCCCCCTCCCCGCCAGGCTCTGGGGAGGTTAGTCCCACCAGCATGTGTCACCTCCATGTTGTCATCAAGACTCAAAAAACTGGTTGGGATCCTCCTCTCCTCATCAAAAAGATATAAGACCACGCTTTCAAGCAACCGGAAGCATCAAAAAGAGCCAGCTCCTATGCCCACCCTCCCCGTATCACTGAAGAGGTTGGCCGCTCGGGCAGCAAAAGGGTCCCCTTTCCGTACTCAAGAGGAAGGACTTCTTCCCCCAAAGTCCCTTCTTCCCGGGGAGCGGGCTGAAACGGGGCTGGGTTGAGGGCAAGCAGTTCTGTGCCCTGACGGGGAGGTGGGGGCCAAGTAAGACCATAAGACCAACCCGGGAAGGTGGACCCCTTCTTTCCACAACAGTGGAGCATGCTTTCGCGTACCCTAAGGCGAGGCAGAGGTACCCCCCGGCACTCGGGGGCCCCTGCACACCCAGGGACCGCTTTTGGGAATCCTCCGGACGCCCCTTCCCCTTGCAAGGGTCACCCGTGGGGGACCCCACTCGAGGCGCGTGGGGCGGCCCAGGCCCCAGCCTACTGCTCCACGTGACCCCGCGGCGGCCACGGCGCCCCCTTCACTCGCGACCCCGTGAGCGCGCGCACGTGACCCCGCCCCCTCTTCCAAAAGAGCGCGCGCCCCTCAGGCGCGCGGACTCCT